CTTCCGAAAAAAAAAAAAAAAAAAAAAAGAAAGGAAAAAGAACAGACTTCCGCCCAATCAAGAGTCCTCGCATGCAAGAATCCACATAGTAATAAATTCTACGCGCGAGTAATTGTAACACGCGAGGATCCTTCTTTCTTCCAGGCGGGAGAGGATGCGTGGCCTTGTCTCACGGGAATAGTAACGACGCGGTCGACCGTGAAACGACAGCGTTCGGAACATCACTCGGAATATGCATACGAACGCACGAACGTATCGTAATTGACACTTTCAGCGTTTCTCCGGGGAGCGGAGAATGCCTTGTAACGACCTTCGCGATGATGCGACGTCATGCTTTTTCTTCCTCTTCCTCCTCCTCCCTGTTTCTTCGCATCTTCTATCACAAGCACGCTCCAATTGGAGCCATCGAATGATTGTGTTAAATGTAACGTGACGTTTGATCACTTGTAAACGAGTTGTTCTTTCTTTGAAAAAAAGAGAAAAAGGAATATTCATAGAGCCAAAGTTGCTACGTGAAACAATTATTTCTATATTCTGAAAAAAAAAAAAAATGTAAATTTGCAGAGTCTGATGATAAAATCATTTCCTATATTTCTCCTACAGTTTCGAAAAGCTAAAGAAATGATATTGTTAATTTAACACGGTTTCACCCTTGAACATCTCCTTCTCTCAAAATTTTCTAAATCTGCTCCACTCCGTTCGAAATTATTCGACGATTTACTCGAACACAATAGACAAAAGAAATATCATATCGTACAGAAATGAAAACTCACTTTTCAGTTCGACTGCGTCCGGGGTGCAAGCACCACGATCGAGCAAACAGCTCACGTAACCGTTCAAAAGCCTCTCGCTGTTCAGCACAGCGTTGATGTCCACGTCGTCGTACTTCGTTGTGTACTTGTCTTCGGAGTGCACTTCGCCGAAGTGCAGGAAGCAGATAGTAGCGAGAGCAATCAGGACAGTCTTCATTTTCGTTGCTGGCTTTTTCGATTACTGAACGTCGAGCTCGTTAGCGTGGCGATCTTATATGTCTCGTGCACGGCTCGTTAGTCGCACGAAATCGCGGCCGATTATTTATCATATCGAAACGGAATTGTACTACCTACCGCGTAATTCGTTAGGAAAAGTGGTATACGATGATTTTCTACCGCGAGCAGACGTTTGACGAACCGAGCAATTCTTCCGGCCTAAGTGGATTATGTCACGATCATTATGAGAGAACCTCTGTCGTTTCGATGCGAAAATTTTTTAATACGCAGTACAACAGAGTGGAGAAATAGGGGAATGACAGAATTGTAAAATTATAAAATGGCAAAACAATAGGGGTATGAAATGATAAAAAATGGTGACGAAATGAACAGAGTGGAATTTTGAAATGGCACAGCGGCGAAATAATCCAGTCGTAAAATAATAAAATAGCAGAATATTATAAAATGGTAAAAATGGTTTTAGTTGTCAAGTTAAATATATTGAATGTTTCTATTTATTGAATGTTCCAAAAATAGTTTAGAAAACTTCATGAATATGTCTTCATAAATATTTCCAGGAAACACATGTCCTTGAATCTAGCAAGTTGTTCTTTTTCTAAGCTGAGTTTCAGCTTAATTAAATTCAATAAAAAAAAAAAAAAAAAAAAGAACGAAGATAGCACAAAGAAAAAAGAATAACATTTTATTCTTTGCTTTCTACACGCGTGAACAGAATTTTACGCGAAACTCTGATGTCGTATTCGAATAGATTCATCTGATAAACCTTTCCTTGAATTACACGAAATAAACGTAAATCGTTCCGCGTTCTGGAACTCATTATACTTATGTACATTGCCTTGATACGACGTCGACATCATTGAAGATTTAATAGAGACGCGGATGTTCCTTGAATCCGATAATACCATTATTACAGAACTAGGAAGTATTTTACTTGGTACTGGCGGACGTTTTCTATTCCGTTCGAGTAGTACCACGGCTCTCATAAATTCAATCTAGTAAATGCACGTTTTAAGTTCTCGTTTCTTGTCCGTGAAATCTGAGACTTGTCAAGTTCGCTACGTGAGATTTATACGTAGAGATCTCCGTACACGTTTCTGATGATATCGTAGTTTGGGCCCCGAAAAATAAATATTTCTAGCCACCAGCTATCTAGAATCTTGACTAGTATCGCTGGAACCCCGAGACGTGAAACCGACGTTAACGACACGCGTGATAATACTTCTTTTAAAGAAATAATACGCGATGTCGTGCGTTAGATTTGAGCGAAGTTTGTTAAATTTAAGTTTACTTGTATGAATATTTTAAACCTATAATATATTTAATATTTCATATCCTTAAAAAGAACAACAACAGTTATTTAATTCATTTCAATTTCATGTGTATGTAAAATACGCTAGAAAATCAAGTACTTTGAATTTCAGTAGTTTGACGTAAATTATTGACTCAACGATACTATTGAAAGATTGATGTGTATTAAATTGAAGAACGCCGCGATTAAGATATCCATACAACACTTAAACCTATTAATTACTATTTTCACATAAGTGTCTTGCAATTGCCGCCGAATAATAATTACTACGATTGCACAACTTTAATTACAGGTTTTTTAATTACAGGTTACGGAAGCATCCGTACCATTCTATTTCGAATGATTTATACCGTTTCCAAATTCTTTCGTGATCGGAATTGTCGATAGAAATTCACGATACTTCAGCGAGACATTTCGCCGAGCTAAACCGAATTAAAAATCACTGCGTTGGGTGTCGTATTCCTCCGTCTCGGTGTCCGAGAATTCCGTGCAGGCGTAGCAAACCCTGCCCACGTCTCGCCAACATTCGGCACAGTGCAAGAAATGGCAGGCAGGCGTGGTGCAAGCACGATACTTTGGCCCTTTTCTAGGCTCCGTGTCGCCGCAAATCAAACACCTATCTCTGGCGCAGGCGAAGAACCTCAGCCAGCCGAAACGATCTGGCCACTTGAGCCTCACAGCCAGCCAGAAATTCACCTCGTTCTCCAGATGACGCGTCCTCACCATGTTCTTCACCTTGGCCTTGATGAACTTGGCGTACGACAGCCTACGTCGTAGGCTCTCGTTGTACAGGTACAACACCCGTCTCTTCTCCCTTCTTCGATAAAAGAACGAGCAGATGCCACGGCGTAGTCGCTCGGTGTACACCGACAGGAAGATGAGGAGGAAAATGGTCAAGAAGGTACCGTAAATCTTGACGATTACGTAAGTGGGCAGTTTCGCGGGCCGCGGCAGACACGCGCTGTTCGAAACCACAGTTTTGATCCGTTTCTTCACGTTGAAACCGCGGATCGCGCTTCTGATCAGTGAAGCGATCACTCCCGTGCCGCGGATCTCGAGAGTTAGGTCGTGCAGGCCTGCCTGGAACGGAAACAGTGAGTCTCAGGTCAGTACGACGACTTATTAATTAGCAATATTTCTCTCAATCGATTGGTTTAAACAGATTTTAGATATTTCTTTCCGCAACATTTTGCGATAGTCGGCAGGTTTTGTAATTTGTAGAATTTATCTGTTTTATTGTCAACGTCACGATCTGATTTCTTATTATTTTTATTCTACTATTCATTGTATAAGAGAATTCGTCAGTGCCGGTTATAAATAATTTTTTCACCAATTTTTAATGCGATGAACTAAACATTCAAAAATATATAGGATGTAATAATCATTAAATCTAATAGATTTTATTAATTATTTCTCTGATAATTATTCTCTGGATATTTGAAGGACTAGAACATAGACTTCATTTTATGAACAATACAAATTAAATACATTGAACGTTGTTTTTGCTGCAAATTGAGAGTTAAATGAATTCTACCTGAGTGTACTCCATGTAAGCGTGCCTCCTAATTAAATCCAACGCTTCGTAGAACAACCAATCCAAAATGACGAACACTGTGGCAGTGATGAGTTCGAGGAGCAACTTAACTGTCTGCCCAGTCAAATGAAATCTTTCCGCTTTGCTCGGTTTCACGGCATACGGATCGACGAACTTCATCTGTTCTGTTTTCTTCAACGGTAGCAGGGTCGTGCTGCCGCGTGCTTTCCTTCTCGCGTCTATTTTCCGAAAATATGGCGTCACGTACATATTATCGTACTCGATGTCAGTTAAATATTTGTCGTGGTAGGTCTGAGCGTTGAGGATAATTTTCAGAAACACAAAGGACAGGCATCTTTTCACGATGGTCATCACCGACTCGAAAAGCCTCCTTCGTACAGCGAATTCGTGTATCACTGCCTTTGCTGCGTACTCCGAGTCCTGCAGATCCAAAATCACCGTGGGCTTCTTCAGTTTGTACTGCAGCTTCGCGTCCTTCATGCTCCTGCTGAATTCGTCCCGCGCACCTTTGAAGAAGGATCGTCCAGGTGAACTTCAACACAGGAAATGGAGATTCACGAAACAGCGATCGGTACATGTACCATGGATCTCTCGAC